ATAAAAAACGAACGTACAAAAAATAACCTTTATTGCTAACTTAATTAACTTAATCTATATACATTTGCTAAACTCAAAAGAAAAAAATCTTGATAAGGGAACATACCCATTCTACGTGACCCATTGTGGGACCTTCAAAATACCACGCTTGGTCTGTGGAATTTTAGCGTAGAGATAAATATAAGCCATTTTTTTTTTCTTTTTGCAGCTTGCAAAAAATGATTTATAACGGCCGGTCTTGGTATGTGCTAAGGGTGGTCACAGAGGGGGGAAGGGGGGTTAAAAATGAGTCACGTAGAAGGGTATGTTCCCTAATAGCTTAGTCCGAAACTATCAAAACTTATATATAACTTTTATGATTCAAACACAGTTTATTTTGTTTTTTTTTATGGAAATAAGGAGCAAATGAGCAGACGGGTCACCTGACGGTAAGTGACTACCGCTGCCCATGAACACCTGGAACTCAGTCACAAGCGCATTGCCGCCGTTTGAGTGTGTGGAGGAACAGACATCATGTCCCTCCAACACAAAGGGAGGATCCTCTGACCAGGCAAGGTGACCATGCCCGGCGGGCCGCGGTCCAACGGTTGATGTTGAAAAGTTGTATAAATGCTAATCAGCGCGAGAATTGTTAATATCGCGATTCAGGATTAGCAGTTACTCCGTAGTTCGGTGTGTCTTTGTTAGATGGCGCTGGTAGTATGTTTCTTTGTTTCACCTTATGTGGAAGTAGCTACAAGTGAAGTAAATACTGGAAGGGGAGTTTCAGGCTCCGGTAACCTCAGTCACTCGGTGAAAAGCAACGAGGGAAATGCTAACACCTGTTTTGTCTGACGCCGTTGTATCACTCCTGCCAAGCCACTTCGTGCTGAAGAATCACTCTCCCACAGTTATCCTCGGGTCTTCAGGCCTCCAACTATTGAAGAAGCTGACTCAGTCTACGAGCTCAACTATTCGACTCTGCATTTTTCAGCCATCATGGTCGACGTGACATTTCGGTCTTGGGAACCTACAATGCGGTCCTGTATATATAAATATTTGATAGTTTCAAATTATCCCCGTAGACAGATTTCCATCTTAAAACGGCACTCAACACAATGCTGCATAGAAGAACGAACCACCAAACATCTGTCGCGCCCTGCAACAAAAATAAAATAAAAATTAATAGGCTTCAATGATATCTAAGGAAGTTCAGTCCGTGTGGTGACGGATTAAGAAAACGGAGTGTCACCACCCCTATTCATCCCGTGGGTGTCATAACAGCCGACTAAGGGTTGCTCTCCACGCAGGAAAACAGCACTGCAAGGAGAAGGAAAACTTGAAACAAATTCTATACCAACCCGTCTGGTCAGGTGGTTTAATAGACCAAAACCTCCTTTCTAAGGAGAGGCCTATGTCCAGCAGTGGACTATTAAAGGCTGTTGATGATTGATGACCTTGTCGCGAACTGGATTCATAGCACTTTGAGTCTTATGACGATAAGAATAGGTTTTGTTATTGATGCGAAATAAAAATAATTGAATATTTCATACGTTAAATAACCTATAGGCTATAATGTAAAGAAACGGTGAAAATAAACAATAAATTTAATTCAACGGTTGACTTGGTTATGAAACGTTACCTTTGTTACCGGAACTGATAACCTTATCCGTTATATTTAATAACATTTAACTTAACAAGTTAATTTTTAAATAATCTTTTATAACTTTTAATCACGTCTCTACGTATGACCTGACCCCTTCTGTGGCATATAACACAATTTTCCAAAATATTTCTCTTCTTAAAGCACCTCAACATTCAGCCCTAAAATTTTAAACACCATGGGTGCCCTTTTTTTTTTGTGCGGAAATCCCCTCAGATATCACCCGGTGGGGTGATTATGTCGGACTCGAACCGACCAAAAACCGCACGCCGTCTCGGGTACCAGTAGCCGGGGAACCAGGGCCTCAATTCTGCTATTTTACTAGCTCAGTGTCTTTACAGTGGCGATGGAATGGCAGTGGCTCATCAGTGGTGATATCAAAAAGATTGCCATATTTGGAAAAATAAATAAATCATTTCCTCAATAAAACGTATTATATTTTTAAATTATAAGGAAATCCCATTCCATCGCCACTGTAAAGACACTGAGTTAGTATAGACTACCGATATTTATACCGATGCCAATGGCCACTCGATAGCGTGTCAGTGGTATGACAGTGCCTTGGCGTGAACATAAAATAGCAGAATTGAGGCCCTGGTGTACCCTAGAAAAGAAATCCCTGGTACCCCGACGTACCTCGGGCCATCCACGGCGTGTAGATGGCTCCCTCCTGTGTAAGAACCCTCATGTTCCCTTTGTGCTCCCAAAGGGCCGCGCGCGCTCGGCAGTGCGTCTCACCGCCACTCCGGCCTGCTTCTGCTAGGGTGACAGATGGCCTCACCTACTATAGGTACCCTTTTTTTTTTTAACGTGTGGAAATCCCCTCGGACCGTCACCCCTCCGGGGTTTGCGGCGGGGTGGTGTGTCGGACTCGGACCGACTAAAACCACACGGTGTGCCACTCTGCGCCTGTAACAGGAGGGATCCGGGAACAGCTGTTGTTAAGACATCCGGACCTACTATAGGTACCCTTTTTTTTTTTTTTTTTTTAACGTGTGGAAATCCCCTCGGACCGTCACCCCTCCGGGGTTTGCGGCGGGGTGGTGTGTCGGACTCGGACCGACTAAAACCACACGGTGTGCCACTCTGCGCCTGTAACAGGAGGGATCCGGGAACAGCTGTTGTTAAGACATCCGGACCCCTCCTAGCGCCAGCCCGCTCCTGGTGCGGGCTCCGTCTCAATGTGGATGTTCCTCTCTTTAGGCGACGTCCGGCACACGCGGACGCCGCCCCCTCGCGGCTGGCCAACTAATGCGGGTGGAGGGGAAACCCACCCCGTCCACCCGCGGCCACACTCAGGGCGGCATGAGGCTGTGATAGCCGGGCCTCCGCCGCCCGGTTCGCCGGCGGCGGATCGGGTCCGAGTGGAGGTCGTCCTTCCGGGCCCTCTCCGCCGCCTCCTTCCGCGAGATTACTACCTCGCAGAAGGTGGCGACCGCGGTAAAACAACTGTCGCTACCGGCCATGGAGCGTACTACGGCCGGTAGCGAGAGATCCACTCCGATGACTGCAGTGAGGGCCCGGCGCTGCGCCGCCCATGCGGGGCAGACCGCCAGCGTGTGCTGGGCCGAGTCCTCACTGCAGTCGCAGTGGTGGCAGGCGGGACTCAGTTCCCTCCTAGCGACCGAGTGCAGGTACTTCCCGAAGCAACCGTGCCCGGAAAGCACCTGCGTCAGCCGGAAGGAAAGGGTCCCGTGCTGCCGCCCTGCCCACTCGGCGATGACCGGCTGGAGAGCCTCCACGGCGGCGAAGCCAGCGCGTGGAGTCTCCAGCCGGAACGACCAACGAGCCATCGTGGCTCGGCGAGCGGCTTCGCGCCACTCGCGCACATCCTCGGGCGGAGGGCGAAATCCGCTCTCCGCCCGGAAGTCAGCCACTCGCCGATAAACTTCGGCGAGCACTTCCGCCTCCAAATCCCACGGGGGAGTTCCGGCCAACGCGCACGCCACCTCCGTCGAAACGGTGCGGTAACCGCGTATGGCTCTGACCGCCATTACCCTCTGAGGGCGCCAGAGGCGTACCCTATTCTGGGCGGTCAGAGCCGCCGCCCACACCGGTGCACCGTACAGTGCCATTGACCGGACAACCCCCGTGTACAGCCGTCTTGTCGCGACGCTGGGTCCACCCATATTGGGCAAAAGTCGCCCTAGGGCAGACGCAGCGCCGACCAGCTTTGGAGCAAGCTGTCGGAAGTGCTCGTCGAAGAGCCACCTCCCGTCGAGGATCAGGCCCAGATATTTCATCTGGGCCCGAACCGGTACGAGGACCGAGTTGACCACGATGGAGGCGCCAGGGGGTGGACCACGACGGGGCCCATGAAATAACAGGGCCTCCGTCTTATCTAGGGCCACCCGTAAGCCCAGCGCCTCACCGACTCACGACCACCAGGGAGACTCCCCCTGTGGCCAGGCGCGCCGCCTCTTGGAAGTTTGCCCCCCGGGCTGTCACCAGGGTATCGTCTGCGTAACAGATTACACCCAGCCCGGGGGGGAAATCGGCGCGAAGGGCCCAGTCGTACCCTATGTTCCACAAGAGGGGTCCAAGAACAGACCCCTGTGGAACACCGCACGACATGGGCCGACACCTCAAATAACCTTCTCGGTCCTCGTACACGACGGTACGCTCCTCTAAATAGTCTGCCACCAGCCGCCTCAGGTACTTTGGCACCCCATGATAGTGGAGTGCTTCCCTGATGCAGCTGAATGGCAGACTATTGAATGCGTTGGCGATGTCCAGTGACACCGCCAACAGCACGCCGCCACAGCTCACGGCCTCTTCGGTCACGGCCCTCAGGCGCAACACGGCGTCGACCGTCGAACGCCCCGCCCGAAAACCGAATTGGGCGTCCGACAGATCGGGGCCCACCTCGCAGAGGTGCCGGACGATGCGGGCAGAAAGAACCCTCTCAAACAATTTGCCCGCCTCGTCCAGCAGCACGATGGGCCTATAGGCCGCGACCGAATCGGCAGGCCGTCCCGGCTTCCTCAATAGGACCAGCTTCCCGCTCTTCCAGCACTCAGGGAAGCGTCCCGACGCCAAGCTAGCGTCGAACACCTCCCCGAGGCGGTCTGCCATGTGGTTGAGGGCCAGGGCCAGCACTCGGGCCGGTACCCCGTCTGGCCCAGGGGCGGTGTTCTTGGAACGGATCCGTAGAACAGCCGCCCCTACCTCCGATTCCCGGACGGGTGGAACATTATCCTCCCCGTGCTCCCCGTCGTCTCCGGCCAAGGAGGCCATCGACGGGGGAGTGTGTTCCGCCCGTTGTGGGAAAAGGCCCTCAACCACTACCACTTCTCGCAGGAAGATAGGTACCCTAACCTAACCTCAGGCACTTATTGATAAATATAAAATCTCACCATCAACACGTGGTAGCTCCATGATCCTCTTCTATATGCTTTCTGAAAACGCTTCTAGACCCGGACTCGAAACCGCAAGCGCCGCACACCAACACATCCGCGTTTTCTACCTCTTCTGTGTCTAGGTGAACCGTATCTGTACGTAATAAATACAAATTGAGTATGACGTCATTTCTATTAGGCATGGGACCATATCACAGTGAACTATGAAAGACCGGTGATTTAACATTCGATTTTTTCGTACGTAGGTTAGGGTTACTACTTACGAGGGGTGATCAATAAGTAATGATTATCGAGTATTTCTAGAACGCACAAAAACCCATTTTCTTTTTTCTGACAATTTGTATTCTTAATCCGTCACCACACGGACGTAAATCTAGTAATTATTTTATTAAAAATACTAGATTTCCTGTTAAATAGCGTCTAACATACCTACCTAGAAACCCTAACCTACGTACGCAAAACTCGAATGATAAATCACAGTTCACTGTGATTTTGTCCATGTCTAATCTTATATATAAAATTCTCGTGTCACAATGTTCGTTCCCGTACTCCTCCGAAACGGCTTGACCGATTCTCATGAAATTTTGTGTGCACATCGGGTAGGTCTGAGAATCGGCCAACATCTATTTTTCATACCCCTAAATGGTAAGGGTGACCCATCCCTAATTTTTTTTTTGTTTTGCAATACAACGTTTGCCGGGTCAGCTAGTTTCTATCTATATTATGAACAATGAATGAAGATCATTTTTGAATGAACAGACAACTTATGACGTCACAGCTTACTGCTGTCATATTAGCCACTTATAATTTTGATTTGATTGAAAACAAGCAAAGCTTAACTGAATCATGTAAAATTTTATGGCTTGTTGGTCAAGAGGTTGATGATAACTAGAGACCGGATTATATGCATTTGCATATGCTTTTGCTTATTTAATTATTCTCAACGGTAATAGCATATTTTACCTAAGATCTAGTTATGATGCATATTATCGGTACATTTACAATATTTTTTCGAGTGTAGTGCATTCACCATGCAGTGTGCATGTTCCGAAATGCGATAAAAGCGATAATATCGCGAATTCGACCCGGAACGCAGTCAGTAGCCGCGCGCGTCTTTTGTTTTGACAGTTACGATAAAAAAAGTCATGTAATGTTACTGTAGGTACTTATTATAGCCAATCAAACAATAATTTACTCATTGTATACTGGTTTTGAAATAAAAAAATGAAAACTTCCTTTTTTTTGGGGAGTTCCTAAAATTTATCATTTAATTTCGTATATTCTGCCAATTTTCGTGCATATTTCAAGCATGTTTATGTTGCATATAATCCGGTGTCTAGTGATAACAGAGATATACTCGTAAGCATAGAGTGAACAAAAGTTTCGGGAAATTTCAAATCTCCTGGGTGTTCTACGATCAAAACCATGGCCACTGCACGATAGCCAATCGCAGCTTAGCTAAACAGAGACAGAGGGAACTATCGCGCATCCGTCTCTTTCGTTGCCTGTATAGCTTCTACTTACAGGCAGCTGTACCCCGTATACCCTCTATGCTTATTTCTTAACTAGCTGACCCGCGCAACTTCGTCTGCGTCTCTCAATAGTAATAAATTGTCTCCGTTTTTGAAACATTCTTCATTGGTGCTCCGCTCCTATTGGTCTTAGCGTGATGATATATAGCCTATAGCCTTCCTCGATAAATGGACTATCTAACACTGAAAGAATTTTTCAAATCGGACCAGTAGTTCCTGAGATTAGCGCGTTCAAACAAACAAACAAACAAACAAACAAACAAACTCTTCAGCTTTATAATATTAGTATAGATGAGTGATAATGATTGCTAGGTCCGATAGAGGTCGTGGGTTCGATTCTCACCCAGGACAAATATTGTGTGATGAGCACGGGCATTTGTTCTGTGTCTGGGTGTAATTTATCTATAATATGTATGTATTTAGAAATATATAAGTATGTTTATCAGCGGTCTGGTTACCATAGTACAGACCCTGCCTAGTTTGGGATCAGACGGCCGTGTGTGAGTGTGTGAGATATATTATATTATTGTGTATGTCTCTGGACTTCAATTATGTTAAATGTAATATTTTATTTTGCACCTACCACATCATATTTGTACATCATCTGAAGGTTGACTGGGAGAAAATGCCTCATGGCATTAAGTCCGCTTTTGTACAACATGTGCATTAAGTTTTAAATAAATAAATAATAAAATTAACCTTCTTCATACTTTTTTTTTTGTGAATTTTTAAATATTTTTACACTTCGCTTCTGAGCAGAGACAAATCCAACGGTCCAGCCATTCTTGAGCTATCAATGATATTACTAACCCGTCTTTGTATAATTTCTTAAGATACTATATAATATCTATACAAATAAATAAAATTGGAGTATCTGTTTGTAATATTAAAATAACCGCTTTTTACTAAATGCATATGTATGAGGGGTGATCAATAAGTAATGATAATCGAGTATTTCTAGAACGCACAAAAACCCAAATTATTTTTTTTCTGCTTGCTTATATATCCACTACTTCAGCTTCAAAAAAATGTATAAATAGGACACCATTACCGGGAGATACATTCATTTGAATACGAACTGTCGAAGAGAAAACATCAAAATGGAGAAAAATGAAATAAGAGCTGTCATCAAGTACCTCTGCCTGAAAAAAATGTCTACCAAAGACATACACAGCGACTTAGAGGAAACATTGGGGGAGTCTGCTCCTCCATATTCCACAGTCGCACGCTGGGCAAAGGAATTTAAGCTGGGCAGAACCTCCACTGAAGATGAACATCGCGAGGGACGCCCTTCCACGTCCCTTACTGGAGAAAACGTCAAAAAAGTGGAAGATATCGTGTTGGCCGATCGAAGGGTGACCGTAAGGCATGTAGCTGAGGTCACAGGGATCTTCTATGGCAGCGTTCAAAAAATCATTGTCAACAAAATGCATATGAAAAAAGTCTCTGCGCGTTGGGTACCGAGAATGTTAACCGACGAGCAAAAAAAGAAACGAGTCGACATTTCGAGGGTGAATCTTCAAAAGTTCCAGGCCGATAAAGATTTTTTTTTGTCGCGTTTTGTGACCATGGACGAGACCTGGATCCACCACTTTGATCCCGAAACCAAACAACAATCAATGACTTGGAAACGAGCTTCCTCACCAACGCCGAAGAAATTCAAAGTGTCAAGTTCAGCGGGAAAGGTTATGGCGTCTGTTTTCTGGGATGCAGAAGGAATTATTATGGTGGAATATTTGGAAAAGGGGGCCACTATAACAGGCTCTTACTACGCAGGCCAAATAAGAAGATTGCGAGAAGCTATTAAGTCAAAAAGACGCGGTAAACTGCGCGCTGGAGTGCTGTTTCACCAAGACAACGCCCCGGCTCACAAAGCCGCAGTTGCGATGGCTGCCATTGAAGAAACGGGGTTCGAACTGCTCGAACACCCTCCCTATTCGCCAGGTCTAGCTCCCAGTGACTTCTACCTCTTTCCTCGGCTCAAAGAACACCTCCGGGGCAACAAATTTGAGGACAATAGTGAAGTGATGGCCGCAGTAGAGGCATTTTGGGAGGGTCAAGACAAAGAATTTTTTTCTAAGGGAATCATGGGCTTAGAAAAAAGATATACTAAATGTATTAACTTGCAAGGAGACTATGTTGAAAAATAAAATACTTTTTTTAATCTAATAGTTCTGTTTAATATTGATTATCATTACTTATTGATCACCCCTCGTATGTTTACACGGTACATATGCCAAAATAACATTTTTTACAATTCTGTCTGTTTGTTCCGAGTAATCTCTGGAACGGCTGGACCGATTACGACAGTACTTTCACTGGCAGATAGCTGATGACATAAGGAGTAACTTAGGCTACTTTTTTTAGACTAGCTTCGCCCCGCGGCGTTGACCGCGGTTATAACAACAAACGCGGGTAACACCGCGGGTCTCAGCTAGTATAATATATATACTAAACACAGCAATGGTGTAAAATATTAAAAAGTTTTGTGGATCCTCACATGGGACAAAAACAAACTTTTTAATATTTTACCCACAACACTCAGCGCAGTAGGAAGCGGCGAGCTGACTACTTTAACTACTACGCCATCCAGGAAACAGGAATACAGGAAACAGAAAATAAAACTTACTGGTAACTTGCGCGGTGAGATGTTTGTCTTGTACATGTTTCATGAGCTGAAAACATACAGTACACATGTCAAATATTTTCTTAAATATATCATAAAATCTTTAGTTAACATGTGTTTAGTAACCTTGTATATAAGGTACATTTGTATTTTTTAGTTTTGTTTTTTTTTAAAGACAACTCCCGCACTAGGAATGTGTCTCGGGGGACTTTACAAACACACATTAAACGGACACAAAGAACACCCAGACTCGGAACAACAATTTGCGAATCATACAAAGTGTTGTCCCATGGGGGGATCGGACCCACAAGACTCAGCGCAGTAGGAAACGGCGAGGTGACCGCTTAAACCACTACGCCATCTGTGCAGTCATTTTATTCATTCCTATTCACAGTTAGTTAATTTACAATTTTTTTAGAAAAAACACAAGTATTATACAACACAGGAACCAAAACTAACGTAACAGACTGGGGCCTGATGTAGATTTATTAAATATCTGTATTACAGGTCACCAAGGCCAGGTATGTACCTTATATACAAGTGTGTTGGACCATAAGTAATAATTATATTCTACAAAACAATAATAAATTAGATTTTTTGAAAGTATTTATTTCGGCCAAAGTCTGTGAGAAATTTGATAGAATAGAGAGAACTCGTACAGCTGCCTGTTAGTGGAAGCGATACAGGCAACGAGAGAGATAGATGCCCAATAGTTCCCTCTGTCTCTGTTTAGCTAAGCTGCGATTAATTACTTATTAACAGCTCATATTCCCCAGCCAACTACAGAGCTCGACTAGAAAGAGATACGGGGACTATCTATTAACCACCTCTCTCGTTGCCTATATTGTAATACTGGGGCCTTTGTTCTCTCTATGTTATACCTCTATGGTCAAAAACTCTTTAGTTAGTTAGTACCACAGAGGTTAGTATTTTCTAGATACTTAAAATTTTTCAAAAATGCGATTAATTTGCGGCTACGCCCTTTTTTATTTTTATACAGGGTTACTGGTTAAGTCAACATAGATACTTTAAGGGGTTGTATTTGCCATCATTTTTGATAGATTTTACTATGAAATGCTATATCCCAAACCTAACCATTTGCACGATATTGGATTTTTAAGATTTTTATAAAAAAATTCATAATACATTTTTTTTAGAACTTATATCCTTTATTTTATACATTTTTTTTTACTTTTTTTTGTGTAGTTGACAAGTTATTTTTATTCTTTATTACCATATTAATAATGTTGTATTACAATACACGTGCATGCAAAATGTAGTACAGATTTGTAAGAAAAATATATCAAAGATCGTATACTTGTATTATGGATGACTTTTTATACAATATTTACAAATTGTTTTATAATTTCCATTACTGAAATTGTAGTTAACAAACTAGGCCGAAGTAGATGGTTAACAGTATCAAAAAGTTACGTTTTTCTTTGACGAATAATAAAAATAACTGTTCAGATAAATAAATATGATTATTGGAACGAAGTTCCTTATCGCGCGTTGTGAAAGGGGGCTAGACGGAAAAAAATCTTACGAAAATTGGTCACGACACTTTTTATTTTGAATTGTCACTTGTCAGTCATTCAGCGCCATCTATCGAATAGTAAAATTAAAATTTATGTTCTTAGGTTGAGCAAAAAATATTGTATTCGACATCATTTCTCAAGGAGATTTTACCAATGTATAAATTGTTTTAATTAGAAACCAACTGAAAAATATGTAGGTAATAGCCGCTTTCATAGATGGCGTTGTAATTAAAATCGTGTCTAATCAGTTTTACTCGATCGTAACAACTTCGTTCCTATCGGGTGTCCCACGACACCACACGGCTTTGTATATTGTTTAGTGGCGCAGCAGTGAGGAGTACCTGCGAGTGCACGGCGCCGCGGAAGGGACAGCGCGCGCACTGCAGCGTGACGGCCGAGCCCCGCGCGCCCCCCGCGCGCCCCGCCCGCCCCGCACCGCTGTGCTCCGTCGCCTGTGTACAGTATTCTTTACTAGCTTTTCTCCTCGGCTCCGTCCGCGTATATGTCGGTTATCACGGTATCCTATGTCCTTTCTCGACAATCAAACTATCTCTATAACAAATTTCATCTGATTCGGTACTTGATTCCCCATACAAACTTCCGACTAAATTTTCACCCCCTTACAGGATGATTCCTAGAATAAAAACTATCCAATGTCCTTTCCCGGGACTCAAATTATCACAATACCAAATTTCATCTAAATCGGTTTAAGCGTGAAGATGCTTGTATCCAAGTGCCGTTTCATCTGCTTCTTTTAAGGTGTCTGTTTTTGTTAATTGTCCAAATAAATAAAATGACATAGACTACTGTTACCGCGATAACCGACAAACACGCGGGCAGAGCCGCAGGCAAAAGCTAGTACACATGTAAATTATAAACCTGAATATCATTCATCATCATCAACAGCCTATACTAGTCCACTGCTGGACATAGGCCTCTCCTTAGAAAGGAGGTTTTGGCCTACTATACCAATAATAATAATAATAATAAACCTGAATATAATCGGGACAAAAAATCTTCCTTCTCAAGACTCACAAGTAAGAACTGTCCAATGTTGAATGTTATATATACGGGGCTGTTGGTCTAGTGGTTAGTGACCCTGACTGCTAAGCAGGAGGTCGTGCGTTTGATTCCCACCCAGGACAAATATTTATGTGATGAGCACGATCATTTGTTCTGTGTCTGGGTGTAATTTATCTATAATGTTTGTATTTAAAAATATATAAGTATGTTTATCAGCAGTCTGGTTACTATAGCAAAGGCTCTGCCTAGTTTGGGATCAGACAACCGTGTGTGAGGGTATTATTAGTATCGTGTTGTCGTACCACAATCACATCACACTAACACAAATCTTTAATAGTCCACTGCTGGACATATGCTTTTTTTTGTAAAAAGACAACAACATACATGAAACGGACACAAAAAACACCCAGACTTAGAACAACAATTTGTGGATCACACAATGTCGTCCCAAGTGGGGATCGAACCCACAACACTCAGCGTAGTAGAGAGCAGCGTGGCGACCGCTTAAACCAATACGCCATCCGTGCAGGCCTCAGAAATAATGTTTTAGCCTACGGTACCACGCTGGCCAGACGGGTTGGTATATGGTTTGTTTCAAGTTTTACTCCTCTTTGCAGTGATGTTGTCCTGCGTAGTTTACTCCCTTAGTCGGCTCTTACGACACCCACGGGATGAATAGTGGTGGTGACATTGCGTATTCTTAATCCGTCACCACACGGACATTCCCGTACGAACCATATCAGTACATTTAAACCACATTATCTTGTTTAGTTTTAAAGCTAATTTTGATTAAAATATAATCATTTTACCTTATGAGCAGACATTTCTTTGACAGCATTACACTTAAAGGAACACATTTTGCAGGAATACAGGTACAGCTTGAAATTGGGGGACGCTAACAGCTCGTGAGGGGGTGGAAGGTCACTCTTGCGTTTGCGACCTCTCCCTCGGCCTCGAGGCGGAGATGATAACATTGCCCTGGGAAAATAATATGGATGTATTAAAAAAAGTTGTTGTATGTCAATATTTCTATCTATTCCTATGTATATAAAGAAAAAATTGAGATAAAGACATTGATCAGGTGAGTAAAGTTTAATGAGTCCAAATAATGCCCCCCCCCCCCCTCCTCCTTTGCTTGATTCTGGTGAGGGGGAACCCACATGTCTGACTCTTGAGCTTTAGGTGTCTTGCTCGTGTGGCCTGCAATTCTTTTTTATTTTTCTGACATCTGACACACAACGCTATGTAGTTTCAAACTAAGCAGAGCTTGTACTATGAAAACTAGATTAAACAGATAATGGTGGAGTAGACGAAGTCTGGAGTGGAGACCACGTCTAGAGTAACTTAGTGTATGACATCCTGCAGACAGGAGCTCAGTGGTTTAGATTTGGAGAGGCTCAAGTCCAGCAGTGAACAATAAAATGCTGATGTCAATACCTGCAGATTGCTCACTTTAATCTGGACATCTGACACACAACGCCATCTAGTTTCAAACTAAGCAGAGCTTGTACTATGAACACAAGATTGACTGATAGAGCGAAGTGCGCGAGAAAATGTTTGATCTTCTTCAGAGTTAATTGGCAGAACAGTCAAAATGCTAGTACCCGACTGAGTATTTTTGTATAATATTAAATTGATGTATGTGTGTTTATATATTGTGTATACCTCTGGACTTTAACTAATTTAATTTAATTTATTATTTTTGTAAATACATACATATTTTCCGTGTGGTGACGGATTAAGAATACGAAGTGTCACCACTCCTATTCATCCCGTGGGTGTCGTAAGAGACGACTAAGGGAGCAAACTACGCAGGACAATAGCACTCCAAAGAGAAGGAAAACTTGAAACAAACCCTTTACCAACCCGTCTGGCCAGCGTGGTATAGTAGGCCAAAACCTCTTTACTAAACAGAGGCCTATGTCCAGCAGTGGACTATTAAAGGCTGTTGATGATGATGACATACACATAATACATAGAAAATACCCTTGCACCCGGTTATGCCAGCAAAAAATATTATTAGGGTTATTTATTTTCTATTTTAATTCTTTTTGCACAAACAAAGTACAATGGCGGACTTAATGCCAAAGGCATTTTCTCCCAGTCTACCTTTGGGTGGTGGGGAAATGTCTGAGTAGGTGCATGAAATTAAAATTAGGTTACATACATACTGAGATACACATACATATATATACTTGCTGAGTAATATAAAAACATATAAGACTTTAGGGATGTGATGAGTCTGCTAAAGTGTCGAGAATTCGAGCTCGGACTTTCGTCTTAAATGAGAGGCGACTGGGTGCTATCCTGATTTCCAAAAGCAGAGCGTTCCAGAGGAGGACAGATTGGACTAAGAACGAAGAGTGGACACATGCGGAAGTATGAGTGGGGCATAACAGAAGTGGATTGTTTAATGAACGGAGAGTTCTGTTGTGATTGGCACATAGAAAATGAAATGAGGATGTTAGGTAGGAATGGGAAATAGGTTAGTTGAGTATGGAATAGAGGGTGGTAAGGGCGTGCAGCTGACGGCGCTGACGAATCGTGAGCCAGTTCAATTCACGACGAGAGGAAGAAACATGGTCGTATTTGCGAAGGTTAAAGACGAATCGAATGCAGTTATTCAGAAGGCGGTCGTATTTATTGAGGAGATCTGCATTCAGGTCATAATAGCATACATCACCATAATCCAAGATAGGGACAATAAGAGTCTGTACTAGCATCGCTTTTGTCTCGGAAGGAAGGAACCTGTGACTTATGTGGTTATTATTACTACTATTGAGCTAGGGTAAGGAATAACACGTGTAGATACTGAGACAGTCGCTTGAAGAGCTCCGGCTGTGATATCTGTAGCCAATCTGATTACCATAGTACAGGTTCTGCCTAGTTCGTTGTAGATTACTATCACTAGTCATTACTGATATTTATAAGCTTGATAAAAACAAACAACTTACTTGGCTTTTTGTAACGTTTTCGCCTTTTCTAATATCTCGGTTGGTGACAAATGTTTCTGAAAAAAAATAAAAAAGATATGAAAACGGTCAGGTAAGAGTCGAACTCGTGCGTTCCGTATCTACCCAGATTTTACCTAGATTTTCGAAAATCGAAATTTGCCCATATCTTTTTATCGTGTTGACTCAGGACCTTGATTTTTATACACCTAATAGGGACCATAGACCTCAGTATCTGGTATAAATTTCAACTTGCTAGGTCTACCCGTTGCTGAGAAAATCGGTGGTGACACACGGACAGACGGACAAGAAAGTGATCTTATAAGGGTTTCTTTTTTTACCTTTTGAGGTACGGAACCCTAACAATTATGAATGAACTATGAACTAATCGAACATTCCAGAATGTTCTACGACGTTAGATGTAACATTGGGTTTTGTCTGTTTGGTGACGGATTAAGGGAGCACTGGTGACACTCTGTATTCTTAATCCGTCACCACACGGACGCGACCTCCATGTTCTGGACTCGTACATACATTGACATTGTTTTCTTCTCTGATCTCACTACTGCTCATGCTGGCAGCGGCTTCTTGAAGCGAGGATTTGAGGAAAACGAGGGGTGCCTGGCCATTTTGACTGTCTACCATCACATAGGACTCATGGTTGTCGGGGTCTGAAAAGACATTTGACATTAAGCTCAAAACTGTCGTGATTTTCATATTAATTAAATACTAGGTAATCTAAGACATGATTATGTAATCTAACATCATCATCAACAGCCTGTAATACGAGTAGTCCACTGCTGGACATAGGCCTCTCCTTGGAAAGGAGGTTTTGGCATACTATACCACGCTGGCCAGATACTATACCATGTTTATATTCGCATTTTTTTTTTATAAAAGACAACTCCCGCACTAGCAATATGTCCTATGTCGAGGGGGACCTTACAAACGGACACAAAGAACACATACTCATAACAACAATTTGTGAATCACGCAAAGTGTTGTCCCATGTGGGACCCACAAGACACAGCGCAGTAAGAACGCCACCGTGCAGTCCAAGGCAAATTTCTGTCAATTTAATTTAAAAGCACTAAGTTTCCCTAAATTTTCTCTCCTCTCCAATTTATGGCATAGGGGGTAGATTAGAAAGTAGGGGGAGCTTAAACACCCCTCCCCCTAAAAAGCAAAGAAAGAAGAAGCATTGCTCTTACACGGCTTCTTTAAAACTTTAATTCAGTGTCGGCCTTTTACCACTTAAAATTGTAAAATATTAAAATTATTGATCAAATTCTACCTACCTTCAGTATCACTGGACTGTAAAACGCAAGTGACTGTGCCATCCGAGGATAGTTCACCAGCTGAGCCCGTATTAGCCACAAACTGGTAACCATCTTCTCCATCTGGACACCTGGAAAAAAAAAACCTCAAACACTGCCGTCTGATCCCAAACTAAAAAGACCCTGCACTATGGTCACCAGACTGCTGATAAATATACTTAATTTTTTTTAAATACATATATATACTATATAGATAACAAACACCTACACATAGCACAAACGATTGTGCCCATCACATATTATTTGTCCTGGGTGGGAATCGAACAAACAACCTTTAGCAGACATTAAAAAAAACCTTTATTCACACATTTATACAGTATCCATACTAATATTTTAAATGCGAGTGTGTCTGTCTGTTGCCTCTTCACTCTTAAACTGCTCTACTGATTTAGATGAAATTTGGAATAGAGGTAGTTTGATTCTTAAAGAAAGACAAAATCTAGTAAACAATATAAATACTTAATCCAAACATATACTACATACATACAAGTGTGTTAAAAAAAATATAAAAAATATGCATACCTGACTAACGTCAAGTTCAATAAATCCAGTTGTACCAGCCCCTTGCTGGTGTCCAACACTTGCATGTACTTAGTCTGTTGATCTCCGCCATCTGTGAGGGGTATCAGACCACCTTCCTGTGGAAGTCATAATGAAGAAGATGCTTATCTCTCAATTATTTTTCACAGAGTCACCTACCATTAGACCTGAGGTCTGTTACTGATACTGTCACACTCTTAGTTCTAAATATATATTTTAAAAATTTCTTACCCTGTCCTTATCAAATGGAGTCACTTCCACTATTTGCAACTGACCTGAAATTATTTATACACCTTTAAAAGAAACACTCCCAATTGGCACATCACACATCAACAGCCTTTAATAGTCCACTGCTGGAAATAGGCCTCTCCTAAGAAAAGAGGTTTTGGCCTACTATATAACGCCGGCCAGACGGGTTGGTATAGGGTTTGTGTCAAGTTTTCCTTCTTTTTGCAGTGCTGGTGTCCTGCGTTGTTTTGGGCCCTTGGTCGACTCTTACGACGCCCACGGAATGAATTGGGATAGTGACATTCCAAATGACAAAATTGACAAATCAAAACATGCTACACAAAATTTAGCCGTTTTATAAAAGAAAACAAAGCCTAGGCAGGAATATATATAATAGTTCAAAGTTTTACCCAAACAGATGGGTCAAATGATGGTAAGTGTCTACCGACACCCTTAGACATCTGCGATTCGAAAGTCACACGTGCGTTGTCGTTGAGTCCTCCGCCCCCAGAAATAGGGGAAGGCATATTTCTAATTAACTTCTCCTGGTGGACGGGAGTTACAGTCGTGGGCGTGTGGGTAACAGAACGGAGACTGCAGAAGCTCGAAAAAGACTCCTGAAGAAGGTGTCTTGAAGAGATCACTAAGACCGGAAAATCAAATGGCCATTGCTAAATTATCCGTGTGATAACGGGTTAAGAACACTGTCGCCGCCCCTATTCAGCCAGTGGGTGTCGTAAGAGCCGACTAAGGCAGCAAAATACGCATGGCAACAGCACTGCAAAGAGAAGGAAAACTTGACACAAACCCTATACCAATCCATCTGGCCAGCGTGGCATAGTAGGCCAAAACCTCCTCTTTAAGTAGAGGTTTATGTTGACTAGTAGGTCAGTAAAGGCTGTTAATGTGAGGTAATTGCTAAATAAATATATGTGTACATACCATCCTTATACTCAGCAGCCAAGATCTGGCCGTCAGATGTCTCTACGGTCACCTCTTCATCAGACATCTTGAAGACCTGGAAATTAATTTAACTTGAGTTATGTTGGCTGATCAATTAATAATAATATTTTTTTTATTAGACAACTCCTGCATTAGGAATATATCCTGTGTCGCAGGGAACTTTACAAAGATACATGAAATGGACACAAAGAACACCTTAAATGAGATCATCAATTTGTGGATCACACAAAGTGTCGTCCCATGTGGGGATTGAACCCACAACACTCGGCGTAGTAGGAAGCCGCGTGGCGACCCCTTAAACTACTACGCCATCCGTGCAATGAATTGAGAACTACTGGACACATTTGCCATTTTCGAGTAAGAAAGAAGAAAGAAAAGCGGCATGACCGAGAGACGTTTTTCAGCCTAGAAATTTATCAGAGTCGGTAGGCTAACGGTGACTGACCAGATCTTTCTTTCTTTTCCTTTTCTTACTTTCTTTGTGTTAGTGGTTTTGACTGCTAAGTGGGAAGTCGTGAGTTCGAATCCAACCAGACCTAATTGTGTGATGATCATTTCTTTTCCATATAGATATAATTTGTCTATAATATGTATGTTTTTAGAAATATATGTATATTTATCAGTTGTCTGTTTACCATAGTACAGGTTCCGTCTGATTTGGGATCAGACAGTTGTCAGAATCATCACACAATTATTTGTTTTGTCTTAATAATAATAACTCTACACATCTCAGGCACGGCGGTCTGATCCCAAACTAGGCAGAGCCTGTACTACGGTAACCAGACTGCTGATAAACATACTTATATATGTCTTAATACATACAAATTATAGATAAATTACACCCAGACACAGAACAAATGATTGTGTTCTATACACAATATATGTCCTGGTCCTTCAGCTTAGCAGTCAGGGTCACTAACCACTAGACCAACAGGCCCGTCAATAATGTATTACGTGCAGCAAAAAATAATAATTGGTTGATTGTGTGAACTATCTGTTAAACACATATTTAGTAACAATATTCAACTATTATAAAACATTATTTCTTAATGTTTCCATTTAAGTTTTCTAATATATTTTCTTAGACATTTTTATATCATTATGGAATGCAATTTCAATTGAAATTAATCAAAAAACATTAGTACCATTTATGAATGATTATTTGTAGAGTAAAGGTAACCCTATAGCTGAGTAGATTAACTACTTTAAACAACAAATAGAGTTGCAATTTTGGAAGACATCATGGGTTGTCTATACTTTGTAAGTATTACAAACTTCATATAAAAGTACAAGTATATTAAACTAGCTGACCCGCGCAACTTCGTCTGCGTCTCTCAATAGTAATAAATTTTCTCCGTTTTTGAAACATTCTTCATTATTGCTCCTCTCCGTTTGGTCTTAGCGTGATGATATATAGCCTATAGCCTTCCTCGATAAATGGGCTATCTAACACTGAAAGAATTTTTCAAATCGGACCAGTAGTTCCTGAGATTAGCGCGTTCAAACAAACAAACAAACAAATAAACAAACAAACTCTTCAGCTTTATAATATTAGTATAGATTTAGATTTAGTACAATTTAAGTGAAAGTTAAATGACCTATATAGGCCATTAGGTCATAAGGTAATTTTCTAAAGACAAAATTGTGTACAGAAATGATGTAACGAATCATCTTTCTGTAACAGAATGGACCCCAGACACTAGCATACGAAAACCAAGATCACGATGCAAATATCTTCAAAGAAATTACAGTAGGTACTTCGGTGCAAAACAGATTCGTCTAGAAAAAAACAGGCAAGGGAATTGCGTCGTTGGGCCAGTTAAAATCATCTATACTAAAGGACTATTTTTAGGTTATCACGGATAGGTATATGCATTTTGCATTTAATAAACAAACTACATTAACAAGTTCATCCGTCAATCTGAGTAACACATTTCTTGCAACACTAAAACAGATATGCGGTGTTTCTATTCTATGGCGATGACTTTTAAATTTTATTATTGCAACAATTAATACTCACGTTTGATGGCAACAATGTGGTTTTCTAGAAACTCGTTAACAATCCAAGATGTGATGGTCTTGAGAAAAAAGTAACACTAAAGCAAAAGAAAGCCTAAATATGGCGAGGCGCCGCCATTAAATAATATATCTTTTTCTGTCTAATGTGAATTACGAATCATTCAAACTTGTGGTAGGGATGCCAGTAGTAATTTTGTGTCAAATTTCATTGAATTAAAAAAGCTACATTCTTTTTTAGAATGGATTATTATTGAGGTAATCACTCTTTAATTTAAAATACTTACATTAATATGCATGTATTTGTTTACAAATAAAGAAAAAAAGTATCTATTATATTTGACCTTTTTCGAAGCTGGCAACAATTAAGTAACAAAATTCCAGCATTTATCTTATTATTAATCTGTTTTTATTAATGAATATTATTATAGAACATTTTAATATCTCAATATCCAAATACTGCAATTCCTAAACTTTCCTTTTATAAAGTTCATTCAACTTTGACCATAAATAAATTTTACATTGCAGCCATTACTGGCAGAATATATCTTTCTCTTTCTAATGCCTTAAGAACTTCAAGCTGTCTCTTTCACAGAATCAATGCCCTCCCATGTCACGGTAGAGTTAGTAGAGCTAAAATTTGTAGCGACCTCATTGGCTCTTGTGTGCAAGCGATAATAAACATAGGACGTACCATCCTCTTGTCCTCTTCCCTCCAATACGATTCACATAAGAAATTGTTAGAATTTTAAACCTCCATTATTATGAAAGAGCAAAACTCTGAGGTCAAATAAAAATCACGAAAGAAACCTCATCGACATTGTGTTTTTAATTAAATATACAGATTATAATAATTTGCAGCCAGTAAGGCTGTATTAAATGAAAAAGTTACGAGACTGAATCGCGCTATTATGATTTGCCAACGCATTAACAAGGTGAACATTAAATTGAATACTTGTATTGGGAGGTCCGTAGCTACTACGTAAACCGGTGCTGACAGGGAGCCGGTCTAATTCCTTGTCATCAGATATGTTGAAGCGTAAGCAAATCATATAATGGTAAAATATAATGTCAAATATGTCAAGAAAAATGATAAAGAGAGACTCGGTCTCATCCACACGGTAGTAGCTGATTTGACTTCCTTTTTTATACGGAATTTGGAGAAAAACGCTTGTAGCTCTAACTTAAACGTTTTGTAATAAACCTTGGGTCATCAATTAGAAAATTATTATGATTTAATAAATAAATTAACTAGTAAACAGATTGTATAATTAATGAAGACACATTTTTTTTAATTTTTCTTTAAAATAGCCGAAATTCGTCTTTAAGTTTAATATTTAACAATACCTACATATACTGAATTTAGATTATGTTTTTAAATATTTTGACATTTTGAGCTAATTTTTTTTTTGCTCTCGTATCGTGCGTACTATACCACGCTGGCTAGACGGTTTGGTATAGGGTTTTTTTCAAGTTTTACTTCTCTTAGCAGTGCTGTTGTCCTGCGTAGTAAACCTCCTTTCTGAGGAGAGGCCTATGTCCAGCAGTGGACTATTAAAGACTGTTGTTGTTTCGTGCGTACATAAAAATGGCTATTTTTCCCGTCTAACTCATCAATGAAAGAGCTTTTTTTATTAATATCAGAAATGGGTACATATTTAAAATAAAAATGTAAATTTTACACCTGTACGTTCGTTACTTATTTATATTTTAATGCAAAAGTAACAATATAGGTAAATATAATGCTGTTCTATCGTCTCTATGTGTACGAAGACACGGGCTACACTAGTATCAGGTAGGTACATATTATCAACGCCACACAGAAACCTAATATTCATTAATAATTAGCTATTAATTTATAATTAGCTGTAATTATGTCAAAATTCTGGTGATTTATTTATAAGTATTAAAGATTGCCCGACAGTCGATTTGTGACGTCTTCAATGTCCAATGATTTCTCGAATTATAATCTAATTATCCACGTAAATATAACTTTGTATTTAATAATATTATCTATGTATATACAATGTGTCTGGGTTCGGACTGTACAAACTTTAGGGGGTGATAGTTTGCTCTATTTTATCACTAAAATCATTCTACAGGTGGGGTCTAAACCCAACGGCCTCTGAATGGCAGCCATTTTTGTATTTTGGTTGACTTTTTCGTAGCGTCCATACTAAAAGTTATGTAACTTTGGAGTTTAATGTCCGATTATCGTAAAACAAAAACTTCCCATAACGGAAAAGTATTAGCAATCAGATAAATAACTCAAATAATTTTAATAATTGCTGTATCATATTAAAATGAATGCTAAAAGATCAACTTTACGTCAAAATTAACATTGTTTTTTAGTATTTCAAGGTTATTACAAAAAATACCCCTATTAACTATCTCTTATTATGCACGTGTCTCAGAGATGGTAAGCTGACCTAAATAATGATACCAAAAACTCGATTCTATGACAACTGGTGTAAGAGATATTGTTGCTCGAACGCAGCCCTTCCGTGCTTAAGATATGAATGAGCACCGCAATCTACACTTGTGGATGGCTGAAAATCCACATGCTGTTAGAACATCAACATTTCAGCATGAATTTTCTGTTAATGTGTGAGCAGCTATGATCGATGATCAATTGATTGGCCCCATCGTACTCCCAAGAAATTTAAATGTTTAATTTTAATTTTTCTGAAGCGTTATTAGAATTACCATTGTCATATCGACGACGCATGTGGCTTCAGTTAGATGGAGCTCCTCCACACTTTGCCCGAGCGGTAAGGGCACACCTAGACCAATATCATCCACAGTGGATTGGCCGCGGCGGTCCTGTAGCCTGGCCACCGCGTTCACCATACTTAACGCCACTGGACTTTTATCTCTGGGGTTGGATGTAACAGAAAGTTTATTTTGAGCCAGTTAACACCAGAGAAGAGTTGCTGGAGCGTATTCGCGTTGCTGCTGCCGAAATTAAAGATAATCCGAACCAGTTGAGACGGTCAACACAGCAGGTAGCGTGCCGGGCTACTGCGTGCCTTCAAAGTGGTGGGGGACATTTTGAACAATTATTGTAAATGTACATTTGTTATTTAATAATTAATACTTGTTATTTTGTTTATCTTTGCTAATCACTGTAAATATCTGAAGAAAAACCAAATCGTTATGAATTCACTACATGCACAAGCCTATGTTCCAACAAAAATATTTTTTAAACCAATTGTCATAGAATCGAGTTTTTGGTATCATTATTTAGGTAACCTTACCATCTGTGAGACACGTGCATAATGAGAGATAGTTCACAGGGGTATTTTTTGTAATAGCCTTGAAATACTAAGAACAATGTTAATTTTGACGTAAAGTTGATCTTTTAGCATTCATTTTAATATGATACAGCAATTATTATAATTATTTGAGTTATTTATCTGATTTCTAATACTTTCCCGTTATGGGAAGTTTTTGTTTTACGATAATCGGACATTAAACTCCAAAGTTACATAACTTTTAGTATGGACGCTACGAAAAAGTCAACCAAAATACAAAAATGGCTGCCATTCAGAGGCCGTTGGGTTTAGACCCCACCTGTAGAATGATTTTAGTGATAAAATAGAGCAAACTATAACCCCCTAAAGTTTGTACAGTCCGAACCCAGACACATTGTATAAACATATTTAGTTGATATGTGACGCTTCAAAAACTCAAAAAGCTGTGCACGGATTGAGCTCGGCTTTTGACAAAATATACAACCTCCTTCAAAGATTATTTTTATCTACTTATTTCGAGTCAGTTTTGTAACTCATTAACACTAACCATTAAGTAGGTACCAGAAAGAAAAAGAAAGAAAAAAACGTCAGTTACCTTATCAATAAGGCCCTTTTTTTTAAAGATAACGCTCGTAGGAAACCCCTTAGGAATATATCCTGTCTCGCAGGGACTTTACAGACATACATGAAACGGAAACAGAGAACACCCAGACGCAGAACAACAATTTGTGGATCACACAAAGTGCTCCCATGTGGGGATCGAATCCACAACATTCAGCGCAGTAGGAAGCGGCGAGGTGCCTAAACTACTCCGACTTCCGAGCAGTCAAAACCGACAATTATTTAGGTAGTTCTTACAATTTCCTTTAAATCACCACTATAACATTACATTTTCTGGGAATAGATCTATAGATATAAAATATTGCATTAATGGGATTATTTGGTTGATTGAATTTATTGTTATGGGTTTTCTTATTTTTTAAAACTCTGTAGAGAAGAAACCATTAGACGATATTTGGAAAAGGTTAAGGGAAAGAAGCTGTCTTTAGTTTATGTTAAGCTTATCTTTACTAAAGAGATGTAAATCTAACATTCTTTTATTTCACGGACCTGTTGGTCTAGTTTGTATTTCAACGATCATTTGTTCTGTGTCTGGGTGTAATTTAATCTATAATATGTATGCATTTATAAATATGTATGTATGTCAGCGTCGTATAGTAAGCCAAAACCTCTTTTTTTTTCCGTGCGGAAATCCCCTCGGATACCACCCATCGGTGGCATGTCGGACTCGAACCGACTAAAACCGCACGCCGTCTCGAGTACTAATAGCCGGGGAACCAGGTATACCCTAGAAAGGAAGTCCCTGGTGCAAGCCAAAACCTCCTGTCTAAGGAGAGGCCTATGTCCAGCAGTGGACTATTAAAGGCTGTTGATGTGTGATTTAGACATAAATAAGTATGTTTATCAGCAGTCTGGTTACCATAGTACAGGCTCTACCTAGTTTGGGGTCAGGGGACCGTGTGTGGAAGTATGAGGTTATTATTATTAATTTCGCAAAAAGGAGGTAATATTTATTATTTATTTATTCGTAATGATAATCTATATAAAGTTTGGGGTTATTTGGAATTTAACGTTAAATAATATCAAGTGGGTCTCTAATTAAGATGAAGTATTTGGAATAATAATAATATAAACATATCATTTATATGATCGCGCACTGGTCACACGACGTGCGGCGGCGCACTGTCATGCTGGAACCAAATTCTAGGTATTCGGGCAATTGGAATATCTTCCATTTGATCCCATTCACGAGGGTATCGACTAGATCCCGCTGCAAAAAGTTCAGATACCGTGGCCCATTCATCCGCTCTGGTAAAAATAAATATTTATACTTTACTACATTCACACAACGCCATCTAGTCCCAAATTAAGCAGACCTTGTGCTATGGGTACTAGACAACTGATATAAATACATTTATGGGTACTTTTTTTTGTAAATACATACTTATTATACATAGAAACACCCAGACCAAGTCAAACATTAAAAGTTCATGCACACAAATGTTTGACTTGAGCGGGAATCGAACCCGCGACCTTTAGAATAGCAGTCCGTTATACAAACTCCGGTCATCGAATATTTAAGGTAAGGCCATTTCTATTTTGTTCGTCTCCGTTTATAAAAAGCAAATCATCGGTTGGTTTACCAGACTGATAAACATTATCAAAAAATTTAATAACATTTTTTCTTAATGCTTGTTTCTATATAGTAATTATTTAAATACTTACATTTAAAAAATGAGTGGTTAAGAAAAATATTATTTTTTCGTAAAAAAAGCGTTGGGTGCTCTATTTTAATTATTGTAAACAATTTACTTACATAGTCACATTAGTAAAAGTAAAAATACATTATTATAAAATATCTTAAAAGCACTCCAGGTTTTTAACTATAAAATGTTTTTTTATTCGCTATTTTTTAATATATATAATTCCCTACTTTACTTAGGTATTGTTCAATAACTACTCTTAGAACCGCTGTCCGCTACAAAATGGCAATAAGCAATGTGTAATCACTTGGTTGCCGCGATACAAGCTACAAGCTTAGTGCGGGAACCGCTGTTAATTCCAAATTTTTGTAAAATGTTTTCATCAACAGCCTTTAATAGTCCACTGCTGGACATAGGCCTCTCCTTAGAAAGGAGGCTTTGGCCTACTATACCACGCTGGACAGACGGGTTGGTATAGAGTTTGTGTCAAGTTTTCCCTCTCTTGCAGTATTGTTGTCCTGCATAGTTTACTCCCTTAGTCGGCTCTTACGACACCCACGGGATGAATAGGGGTGGTGACACTCTGTATTCTTAATCCGTCACCACGCGGACCACGTAAAATGTTTTATTGTAAATGTATTAATAAATAAATAAATATAAATAAATTTTGGCTTTTCGCTTCTTCTACAATAAACATAAAGAAATCTAGTATATGACATGCTGTCATGCGACATACTTGTTTAATGAGAAGAAGAAGAAAGAAGAATTTTCTTTAATTACTAATCTTAATAAAAAAAATGTCTACATATATTCTTTAAAAAAAAATACTCCTCCCGCACTAGGAATATATCCAGTGTCGCGGGAGACTTTACAAACATACATGAAACGGACACAAAGAACACCCACAGATTAATAATTTGTGGAACACGATTGAATCGACAACACTCAGGAAGCGGCCAGGTGAGCGCTTAAACCACTACGCCATCCGTGCAGTCTATTGAATTTAGTATGTAAAGTTGTAAACCCACACGTGCACACCACACGGCAGATGATCGCCTTCATTTTCATACATAAATTATATGTACAATAATAATGAACCCAGTATAAAAATTAAGAATAAAAATAGGGTGTCTAATCAGCTGAAGAGTGGTGTGTGAGGTTTTCACCCCTTAGTTTCATCATTGGATTATCCGTTTTCTAGGGCATTGATTGTTTCTTTCTGTAAGTCGTTTAGTAATCATGAACATATTAGTTAAGACTCTCTCATGTTGAATAAA